TGATTCTCCACATCCTTGAATCCTATGTTTTCATTTTAATACCATGCTGAGGACGTCAAGACATCGAACCTAACAAGCATTTACTCCCTAATTTTGAGACTAGAGTCGGTCAATTCCAACCTTTATTGAATTTTCAGCTTAAAAAGCTTCCCTATACTATATCGATTCAAACAATTCATCCAAATGTGAGGCACAATTCCTTAAAATAATTTCCTTGATAGTTGGATGTTGTTTGTTATATGTGGATGCCGGATTGATAGATGACAGATGAACGGATACGGATGGATGATGGATACGTGATTAGGTGGGTAGGTACTTAGGTAGATAGGTAGGTAGGTAGATGGATGGATGGATGGATGGATGGATGGATAGATAGATAGATAGATAGATAGATAGATAGATAGAGCGAGCTCTTATTGGTTCTGTTTCTTTGGAGAACACTGATAAATTTAGTACGATAAACATTAGGAGACAAAAGAGCACTCCTCAGATAACCTCATTCATTAGGCTTCCTAATAACATGGCTGTCTCTGCTTTTGATGTAACATCAGGGGAGGTACAACTGAAGAGGAACCTTGAACAAATTAGTAGAGAGCCCCCAGAGCCAGTGCAGGAGTAGCATTGAGGAGGAAACTGGCCTTGCAGAACTTGTTATCTCAATGCAGAGGCCCTGGGACTGTGAACAATGCACTGCCCTGGGGGGGGGGGTTATGCTGGTGCCAGGAGGGACCAAGGGATGAGGCCTGACACCTGGGGGCCTTCCTGCAGGGCCACGGAGGGGGCAGGGGGCATATCTGCAAGACAAAGACCCCAGCGGGATATATATAGACAGGTTCTCTGCGTGTTTCTTCACTCTGGTTTGGAAATGATTCCCGGAGTCCACTAGTGTTAATAAACGGGGTCCCTCCCTTTCTCTAGGAAGGGTGCTTGGTATTTCTTTTTCTTTTTCTTAATATATTTTATTGATTTTTTTACAGAGAGGAAAGGAGAGGGATAGAGAGTTAGAAATATCGATGAGAGAGAAACATCAATCAGCTGCCTCCTGCACACTCCCTACTGGGGATGTGCCTGCAACCAAGGTACATGCCCTTGACCGGAATCAAACCTGAGACCCTTGAGTCTGCAGGCCGATGCTCTATCCACTGAGCAAACCAGTCAGGGCGAGCTTGGTATTTCTTTGGTCTTCTGCAACAGCATATTTTAGCATTTATGTTAACAATGCTTTATAATTCACAATATATTTCTTCGAATGTAAAGCCTTATATTTCCATTGGTAAAGTGTGTGTGTCTCAAAGACACATGGCTCCGTCACTAGGCAGAGAGAGAGAAACAGATCCAAATCTTCGCTATTACGTGTCTCTTGCCTATGAAATATTCATAACAGTCACCCTGGATTTAGAATCTGCTAATATTATGAATTTATTGCGTATGGGAGAGTATGCGACTGACAACATTACAAGCCCTGACCGGTTTGGCTCAGTGGATACGCAGCTGTGCGGCCTGTGGACTGAAGGGTCCCAGGTTCGATTCCGGTCAAGGGCATGTACCTTGGTTGTGGGCACATCCCCAGTAGGGGGTGTGCAGGAGGCAGCTGATCGATGTTTCTCTCTCATCGATGTTTCTAACTCTCTATCCCTCTCCCTTCCTCTCTGTAAAAAATCAATAAGATATATTTGAAAAAAACAAAACATCACAAACATCTGTACCTACTAGGATTCAAGAGTTAAAAATATGAGTTTTAATATCTCCAAAGCATATTTCTTGGAAAACTGTGTTGGATGCGGTGGTGGGAGAGAATGGTTTGTCAGCTTGTCCTCTGTGGCTTTAGTTCTTCCCTCCCATTTTAGGAGTCTAAACCACTCACGAGAACCTTCCCCTCCTACAGCCACTCATACCTCACTTTCTTGATTTTTCTTCCATTTATACCTATGTTCTCCCCAATTGTTCCCTCCAGTTTATTAATTCACAATGCTTACAATAAGACTGTCAAAGAGACAGGAATATATTTAGATTGGCTGGTCAAACATTCTCTTCCTGGTAGGAAAACCCAACTAAAGTCAGAAGATTCTTTGGTAAATATGGAATGATAGCAAAGAAAACAACAAAATTCTTGAAGGATATCACCCTTCATACTTGTGGCTTTAACATCCCATAATTCCCCATTTCTCCTAGAATTCCTCATCTCTCCCACAATTCTCCATTTTCTCTCACAAGTTTTCTCATGACGTTCTGCTCTTCCACAATTCCCCAATTCCTATCACGTTTTCTGTTCTTCCCCACAATTCCCCCAGCCCTCCACAATGCTCTGGTTCTCTAATAATTCCCTGTATTTCCCACAATTCTTAATTCTCTCCACCAACACCCCATTATCTGCACAAATCTCTTCTCCCATAATACTGTCATCTCTCTCACAATTCTTTCTTTTCTCACAATCCCCCCCCCCCCCAATTCTCTCTCTCTCTCTCCAGGGCCAGAGACCAGACAAAAGGGACAGACCCTGTACTTCAGAGCCGGCTGAAATTACTCATATTAGACAATCCTAAACCTGCGTAGCCTATCCCACCTATTCCTTGCCATGGGAACCATAATAGAGACTCTTGCCCACGGGTCCCCTCCCTCTGCCTAGTGACGGAGCCCATGCGTCCTTGGCCTGTGTGCCCTGTGTGTAATGTGGACTCCCGTTCTTTAGGATCTGTGCGTAGAACACGCTGTCTTCAATGGCAGTCGTTTCCTGATCTGTTGGCCTCACCAAACCTACTTAATAATGAAATTTATCCCCTGACCAGTTTGGCTCAGTGGATAGAGCGTCGGCCTGCGGACTGAGGGGTCCCGGGTTCGATTCTGGTCAAGGGCATGTACCTTGGTTGCAGGCACATCCCCAGTAGGGAGTGTGCAGGAGGCAGCTGATCGATGTTTCTCTCTCATCAATGTTTCTAACTCTCTATCCCTCTCCCTTCCTCTCTGTAAAAAATCAATAAAATGTATTTTTAAAATAAAAAAATAATAATGAAACTTATTAAAAGATTTATGCATAGATGTGCTCCCGTGAACAGCTGTGAGTGATGGAAGGAGGACCGGGCAAAGTCCTGTGCTGCAGTCGAAACGGAAGCTTCAGCTGGCCCTCTGAGCAGCTCTGAAGCTGGGTTGGCCCTTCTGAGTGTCCCCCTTGAGGCTAGGGGCCCTGGCTCATGAACCCTTGCATGGACCACTCATAGGCTGCAATGTGCCACAGAGTGGGGGGCGGGGGCAGATTGGCCCGAGGCAGTTCTTCTCAGGCTGAGGCAAATCCTGGAGACAGCCTCAGCCCATAGCTGTCAGCTACCAGCACTCCCAGCACATAGGCCAGTGGTTGCCAACCTTGGCTGCACATTAGCATCACCTGGGAATCTTTTCAAATCCTGATTTCTGGGCCTCATCCTCCAGAAATTCTGTTTCTTTGTGATGGGGTGAGGCCACAGCATGAGTAACAAAGAAACAGAATTTCCGGAGGATGAGGCCCAGAAATCAGGATTGTAAAAAGATTCCCCAGGTGATTCTCATGTGCAG